GCGTCCTCTGCACAGGGGTACACATATACCCTCCTATGACCCATTAGCATTGTGGAAAATGGAGTCATGGCCTTTCTCTAGGTTCAGCCCTGCCTTTCTGAATTTTTATCACCAGTTCTTGACCAGTTAAGCAACCAGAAAAGGTTTGTCTCACTGAGCAAGATTTGCCTCCAGGGTTGGATGAGAGGTCAGAATGCTTATAAAATGTGAAGTTGGGCAGTGTAGCATTTTATCATGGCTTGAATTTTGATAATTCCTGTCTCTGGAAATTCACACATTCTGCCAAATGAAATGTTCATTTCTATTACAATGCACGTTCCCAAACCTTAGACCTCAGCATCAGGAAAGGGCTGTGTTTTGACGAACTGTCTCTGGTATTTCATAAGAATTCTGCCCTTTAGAGCAGCAAAGCGCAGCAGGGCTTATAGGACACATTTCCAGCAAAGCTTTTACAAGGCCACTTGCTCCAGGTATGTCACTTTTCCCAGGTGCTCTGAGTTCTGTTTTCTCTGAAGTGTTTGCAGGAGAAAATAGCACAGTGTAAGTGTCCTGCCTGGTGTCTGGAGCAGAGCTGGGGCCCACTCTACTGTCCAAGGTAGAGAGGTCAGGGTTCCCTAGGCCCAGCCTGGCAGGAGAGTTGTTGCTGCTGGCCTGGGCCTGGCTGTTCTGCTCAACACACTGTACTTCTAGGCACATCCTCTTACCAGATCCCTAAGAACGTGGGCTCCCTCTGGATTTCCTGTGGCTTCCTATGGTGAGGGCCTCCATTATAGCTGTTGACTGGTCATTGTGCAGAACAGGCAGCTCCTGCCCTAAGGAAGCTTGGCATATTTCTGTTTAATACTTGAAAACATGTAAAGGTCTAGCCTGCTACCTTGTGGCATTACCAGGATTGGAATTTCCCAAACTGGCCTAACCCACCAGCATTTGGGGTACTATCTTACTAGCTTCTTTGTCAGGTGGTCTCCTGCCACTTACCTTTTTGTTTCTAACTGGGGCTTGTGCTTCTGCTTCGGGAAGCCTTACATTCCATCCTTGTGAAACCTACCTCAGTCTCCCTCTGGAGCAAGCTTCCTTTTCTGACTTTGCCTATTTTTGGGATGTATCTTGTCCCCTTTATTTTGTGGTCATTTCCTGGAGGGCAAGCAGCACCTTGTTCTTTATGCTATGTGCTGTGCTGCTGCATATAGTGATAGGCAAAATTTCAAAAAATGATACTCCCACCATGGATTCAGAAACCGTGGATTTCAGTGGCAGAATTCTGTGCTGGGAGTTCAGAATGCCCTTGAGATGGGAAAATATTCTGTAAAATTTTCAACATTTATATAGATTTGAAATATGGTCTTCATATGGTAATAAAGAAGAAAGTAGCAGGGTTCAGTGTTAAGAGAGGAGGAGGATTCTAGAGGTCTTTTTTTTTTTTTTTTTGAGGTAGAAACTTGCCCTGTTCTTTATTGCTTTGTGACCTTCAGCAAGATATTGAATTCTCCAGATTTCAGTTTTATCAGCTGCAAAGTAGAGATAACCATGTGTATTTCTGTGAACAGAAACAGTGCCAGTATTCTATATACAACAAAGAAAGAAAAATTGCCGTCAATTAAACAATGATATAGTGCTTTCTGTAAGAATTTTCATTTTATACATATTGAAATAACTCTTTTAGATGTATTTAGGCTTTAAAAAGTCACCTAATTTTCCTAGGAAAGAAAATAAATTGGTTACGGTTTTTCTAAGGCATCTTGGTCTTCATATGTGGAGGCTTTTGAAACACTTGTGGGTTCAAAGTTGTTAGGGTTGATATTTTCCCATATGCTGTTATCCTCTGTGCCCTGGGAGCTATTGGAGGTGCAACCCCCCCCCCCAATAATGCTGATTTCTGTAAGGCTCTCTGCCAAGCTGCTAATACCGTTCTTCAAAGTCTGATTTACTTTATCTTCTATCTATCTATCTATCTATCTATCTATCTATCTATCTATCTATCTCTAAAACTGTGCACTAAGCCACATACATCCCTTACTCCTTTTATTATTGTATTTTTATTTTGAGACAGGATCTGGCTAAGTCACTATGTTGCCCAGGCTGGGTTCACACTTGGCTATCCTCCTGCCTCCGTCTCTCGGAGTGCTGGATTTTGACATGCCACCATGCCTGGCCCATTTGTTAAGTTTTAAAGGCAGGTAATACCTTGCTTTTACAAATTCACATCCACAGAAAGTTTTCAGTCAATAGCAAGAAGTGGTCCACATGTGATTTGTATGTTGAAACACCCAGGCTTTCCCATGGTCAGTCATGCACCAAGAATAACAAGTGCACTGTGACAGGTGCATCCAGACTGCCTCCAGGATGGGAGTGGCTCTGAGACACATCTTATTTCAGAGACGTTAAACTGTTAAAAGAAAAAAAAAATGAATCATAGGGTTGGCAGTGTGGAGAATAACTTAACTCCCAAGGCTTTTGTTTGTTTTGTCATTAAGATTACAGTTAAGTTTTAGCAAATTCGGTGGAGTTTTCCTATTATAATGGTAGCTTTATTTATGGAGCATGCATTGATGTGATATATCTAATTTTTAAAATTTTCATATTTAAAATTTTCCTATTTTTCCTTTTTACTGAAGTCTGATGTCATTCAATTAACTGGGTAAGTCTTAAGAGTACTGTTCAATGCACTTTGACACTTATCCCTTTTTTTTTTTTTTTTTTGAGACAGGATCTCTCCTGGAGCTCACTATGTAGTCCAGGCTGGCCTTGAACTCTTGGCAGTCTTTCTGCCTCTCTCCCATAAGTGTTAGGATTACAGGCATGCACCACCATGCCTGATAACACCTGTCTTGCTATCAACCCTAACAGGATGAGAACTGTTTTATCCCCTCAGAAACATCACCTTTCAGGTATTATCCCTGCTTCCCAGATGACTGCTCTGGAATCTCCTACCATGGACCAGTTTTGCCTGTTTTAGAAAGTAACAAAGTGGAATCTGGTGGCATGTGCTCTTTTGCATTTTTTTCCCAGCAATGTCTCTGTTGCTGCATGAAAGAATCGCTTGTTGCCTTTTAATGCTGAGTGGTCTCACCCTATTGAACATGTTACCATTTTTGTGTGTTCCTGTGAATGGGGTTTTCAGATTTAGATTTTCATGAATAAAGCTTCCTGAACATTTGAGTGCATGTCTTTTTGATTACATGTTTCATTTACGACACGTAAATACCTAGAAGTGTGGTTTTTGGGTCACAGGATGAACATACGTTTAACTCATGAAAACCAGCAGAGCATTCTCTGAGGAGCTGTCCCGGGGTGCCTGTGTGAGAGCCTGGTTTCCTCAGTGTTGACATTTTCAGTTTAGCTACTTTGGGGCATTTGAATGAGTTTGTAGTAAAATCTCCATGGTTTTAATTTGCATTTTCTGATGACTGATGATGTCGAAGGCTTTCCTACAGGCTTATTGGCTGTTTGTGTATCTTACTTTGTAAAATGCCCATTAAATCCTTTCTGGGCCCAGTTTTCAATGGTGTTATTTGTGTGTTAATTGTTGAACTACATGACTCAAGTCTTTGTCAGATATATATGAAGCAAATATTTTCTCCAAGTTTGTGACTTGAATACTTATTTTCTGAATGATGCCTTCAGATGAACAGAAGTCTGTAATTTTGATGAAGGCCCATTTATCAATTGTTTTCTTTTATAGTTAGTGTTTTTGTATCCTATGCAATGTTTTTGCCTACCTCAAAATCAGTAAAATGTTCTCCTTTCTTTCTAGAATTTTTGTAGGTTTAACTTTTCTAAAATCTGTGATCCATCTCTAATTGTATTTTGTGTATGATTTGAGATATAGGCCAAAGTTAATATTCTCCTTATATAGCTGTTTAATCCTATTTGTTGAAAATATTTTTTTCACTGATTTGCTTTGCACTGTTGAAAAACACTTGACCATGTCAGTATGAGCCTTTTGGGTTCATCTGTTCTATTCCATTGTTCTATTTGTCCTTCTGTATTATAATGCCATACTGTGTTGATTTATGGTAGTCATGAGTTTAGCCTTGAATCTGAGACTGTTTAAAGATGATTTTGGTTGATCTAGGACTTGGCATTTTCTTTTATATTTTAGAATAAGCTGATAAATTTCTATAAAAGAACCTCATGAAATTTTGATTGGGGTATATTAAATCAATAAATCAATCTGAGGGAAATTGAAATGTTTGTAACATTGAGTTTTCTTATGTATATTTATATTTTATCCTTGTAACTGTTTAAGTCTTTATGTCAGTTTTTAAAAATATTTCTTCACTGTAGTGCTCTTGCACATATTTCTTTAAATTTATTCCAAAGTATTTTCATATTTAAAATATCTTATAAACTGTATTTTAGAAATCTTCAATAATTTGTTGTCAACATTTAGGCATACATTGATTTTTGTACATTGACTTTGTATTCTGTTATGTTCCATGTGCCGTATATTTTGCTTAATGCTTTATAGAACTTCTTATATATTCTTGTAGCTGCTTATGATTTAGGCATTATTATGATCATATTTTATAAAATGTATGTGTCCTAGGTGTGCTAATTTCCTTGTTCCACATCATGCAGTTTGAGAAACAGCAAGACTAAGATTTTAACTTGGGTCTGACCTGATTCCACAGCCCAATCTCTTTCGACTCTGTTGTAATACATTACCACTTTGACATTTGGATGTTGAATGGCATCCTGTGGTTTTCGTTGGTTCCAACGAGACATTTTGTATCATCCTTTTCACAGGATATGCATCAGCCAATGGCAACCCTAACACGGACACACCAAAAACAAGCTGGTAAAGGGAAGGATGTGTTTCAGTTTAAGGAGAGAAGAGCTTTCCTGGTTCCTCTGCAGGTTACAGTTAAGGAAGCTGTGTCTTGCCATGGAGCAGAGTTCCTTTTCCTGTGCTGTAGACATGCATTAGTTGCTACTAGCTCTTTATGTTTGCAGACACTACAAAACCTCTCTCCCTCCTCTCCCACACTGTGCTGTAGGAAGCCATTTCTGCACAGCCAAAGACCTCACGGAGGAGATTAACACCTTGACCTCAGAGAAAGAAGGGCTGGAGCCCATCCTGGGCAGGCTGTGGGCACTCAGGTCAAGGACTGCAGAAGATCTGGCAAAAGCAGTGGAAGACCATAGCCAGTTGACATGCGAACTGCAGCGCCAGGAGGCTGTGCACAGTGAGTAGCACCAGTGTGGACCCTGGAGGAGTTTGTTCATTGTGTATATGAGGCCAGGCAGACGTCCCAGTGCTCCAGATGACCTCTTTGTGAGAGGCATCATAGAGTACACAGCCTTTCTTCTGGGCAACGTCTTTGTCAAGAGCCTCAGCAAGTGTATTGGAACCACCTGTTGGCTATGGTTTTGGTGAAGTCATTTGTGACTTCTTCTGTCCCCCACCCTATCCTCAACTCAAGTCTTGCTAATGGCCTTGTGATAATTTGGAACTCTAACTCTATTGGCACAGGTGTGGAATATTTCCATTACTTGACATTATCTTGCTTTGTCCGTTGGCTCAGTTTTCTGGTCTGTACTATAATAGACTGACTCTAGGAGACTGAGGAAAGGTTATAGAGCAGCCCTCTGTGTGCGCTCTTCTGAAGTTCCATCTCCCGTAGAATGGGACGGACAGTGCTGGTGCTGCTATTCCTTGCATCAGCATGTCGGAGGAGCTGACACATTCATGGGCTCTTTCTGCTCTTGTCCAGAGAACTGAGGTCACCTTCAGGACTGTACCCTGAAAGCCTCAAAAGATATAGGTTCAGTACAAACTGGGACAGTGAAAATTTATTTCTTAAACAACGTGAAGAATTTCTGCTGATTCAGTTTCTAATATACAGAATGAAATCATTAGAAGAAAATTCAGATTTAAAATAGATGTTGAAATCTGTTTCTTCACTATTAAGATAAGAAGAATAACATCTCTCTCATGGGCAGACTCAGTGGTGTGGTTCAAAAATTCTGGTCCATGTATGGCATGTGTGCGTGTGTGTGTGTGTGTGTGTGTGTGCATGTGTGCATGTCTGTCTTTTACCCCTAGGAACTAGATGGTGCTGGAGGATAAAACCAAGCAAAATAAAACAGAAAAAACCAGAAGTCATAGATAGCATAAGATGGTCACTAAATAAATGTTTTTATTAGGAAAATTAAAGGAATATACATATGAATAAATGGCTATGTTAACAAGGTCTGCTCGTCTAAAAAGAAATGAGAAAATATAGAATATTAGGAACCAGATTTGAAATGGGATCTTTGAAAATATTCCACAAATTGATGTACCTGAAGATTAGTCTTTAAAAACCAAATAAACATGAATTCAGCTAGCAGAAATTCAATGTGTCATTTCAGGCTGAATAAAATTTGTTTTAAAAGCCCCTCAAATTGTGTAGAGAATTGTTTCATCACAGAATTTGAACTAAAGAGAGTGTGTTCCATGGTTATTGTGAGTCTCAAAGATGTACACTGAGCTGGTCAACAACCCAGGGCTTATCCGTTTTTCTTTTCCCTTTAAAGATCAAGCTTTGGTTTGCTTTCTTTCTTTCTTTCTTTCTTTCTTTCTTTCTTTCTTTCTTTCTTTCTTTCTCTCTCTCTCTCTCTCTTTCTTTCTCTTCCTTCCTTCCTTCCTTCCTTCCTTCCTTCCTTTCTTTCGCCAAACATCATAGGGATTGAATGTTTGAGCCTAAATAAGGTACTGAGAAATGATAACATATTCACTGAAGACGCTACAGCCTAGTGTATTGGGCCACGATAGGAATGAGCACTGTATATTTTAAGTGAATTGTTTAAATATACATGAACAATGAAAACTGTACATTTTTTTGGTGTCACAATTTAATTTTGACACAAGATGGGAATAGATCATATCTAAGAATAAAGAAGATATGAACAGATTTGAGTATATTCCAGTAGTATTTTCATTTGAATAGTTGAGTTGCTAAAAGCCATTAATACGTTTTTTTTTTTAAAAAAAAAAAAAAGGCCTGTGCAGTATTCTTTGAATCACATCATTGTCACTTCTCTAAGTATTTTCAAAATGATGAATAAAACATAAACACATGGAATGAGAGATTGTTACCACGGATGGTTCTCCACTGCAGATGGCTCCCTGTATGTTTCCTGGTGGATTTTGCTGTATCAGCTGCCCTTTTCCTTTTATGCAGATTTACACATGCTTCAGGCTGAAGCCAAGTTTTAACCAGTCCGAGGAGACTTGACTTGAGTGACCCAAATTAATAATCCAGAATTGCTGAGAGTTTAGGAAACAAATAAATAAATAAAAATGAATGCCTGAGCAAGTTATCTACTGAAGTGTTACAAAACTAGGCCAGGGTCCATATGCAATTACATTTGGATTTTGAGAGTTAACTATTCAAAAGGAGCTCTGTGTTTAGGTTTTAAAGTAGCTCAAGTACACTGGAGTAGTCTGGGTGTGGCATGATGCCTGTGCATGCGTATGCCATGACTATTGTCTTAGATAAAACATTTAAAAATGAAACTAAGCAATGAAGTTCTGAAAATGTTTTGATTTCCAGTGATTCTAGATCATAGCATTTAGGGAGAAATTGTAGTGCAGGAATGGAAAAGCAACCCTGCCGGTCAGGGACCCAGACTCTTACTTTGTTCTTCTGGCCTCTGGGTAGGTGATGTTCAGCCCCAGCTGGCTGACTGGCCACATGTATGTCGGGATCCAGCCAGAAGGAGTGAGCACAGCTATCCCCTTTATGAATTTATGTACATTTCTATTGCCACATACGTGGGTTTAATCTTGGTATATGGCGACAGGTAACTGCGAGGGTGACTGGGGTCCATCCTTACCTGGGCAGTCCTATGTCCTGCTGAAGTTCAGAATTTTGATTCTGTAGGAAAACAGGATATTTGTAGACTTGGGGAAAAAATTAACATTGTTTTTCTTATAGATTGATCCAGGAACCTGTCCCTCTCATCATTAGAGATCCTCATTGTGTCTTGAGTTCCTAGCTCGATGTGGGTTCCTGGGTACAAAGCACTGTCCTTATGAGTCATTGGATCACTTTAGGGCCCAGTGATACATTCTAAAATAGTGAATATATTATAAATATTTGTTTGTTTCCTGGGGCTAGAGATTAATAAGAAACACAAGTCCTTTCTTCTCTATCTGGATTGCTGTTCTAGACCTTGGGTTTTCTGCTTGGTTGTTTCTTTCCAGCTCAGTGAGAGTGGTGGTAAGTTTCACTGTTTCTTAAGCTGTCCAAGTTGGATATTTAGATTGGATGTAGGCTGACAGAACAATATCATAGAAAAGGAATTGCACCAAAGCAGACAGCGTCCCTGAATCCGTTGACCTTTGTCCCCATGACTTGGTCCCTGTGAAGGGGTGAGAAAGAAGTGTGCCTTAACTATCATCAGCAGAGCTGATGACTCTGGGAAAACACTGAATCCTGAGCAGTTCTTCCCTTCTCCTGAGCACTGGGAAATGAACCCAAGACCTTCACATGGAGCTATATCCCCAGCTCTTTTTGTTTTTAATTTTTTCTTTTTCTTTTTTGAAACAGGGTCTCACTAAATCACTAAATTGTCCAGGCTGGGGTTGAATTTATAATCCTCTTGTCTCAGCCTCCTCCAGTGTTGGGATTATGAGCTGAAGCTGTTTTAAATATAATGAAACCAGAATAAAAAGCTAAATGTATCTTCCATCCCTTGAATACTAATGAAAACTAACTATGAACTTTTCATGAGTATGGATTTCAATTTTTGAAGAGAAAGTAGGGTAAAAAGATCAGCAACATTTTTAGTTTGTTACATCTGCTTTACAGAAAAGAGACAATCTTGAAATTTAGATAACTTTTCCATTGCCTGTGTATAAGTTGGTAATTCTGATTGTACTTTGTTAATATTGTTGATTTCGCACTGTAACTCAGATATAAAGGCAGCCAACGTCAAGGAAAGAGATTTAATCACAGAATAATCAGGGCTAGAATTTTAAATAGGACATCATTAGCATGATAATGAATTTCCCCCTCTCTGCCAGCTGCCCAAGCAGAGAGGATGCTGCAGATGAAGCTTAGGTCCTCAGCCCAGGAGTTGTCAGGGTTCCCAGTAGGAAACCATCAGCTGCTTGAAGGGAGTCTCAGTGAGAAGATCAATATGAATTTCCCATTCTGGGAATGTTGATCGAGATTGTATCCAGCCTGCTCTACTTGCCTTTCAGCAACCTGGAGAGATGAAAAACAGATAAGGGTAACTTAGGGAGAGCGGGGAGTAGAGGCAGTTTTTCCTTGCATGGAATGGGGTGAGTGCCTTTCTCTGTGGACTAGCAAGGCCACACACCCACACCGACCTGACCCTGCTCTTCTTGTAGACTACCTCATATGTTTTGAACTTGAAATAGTTCATAAAAGGGAGTATGATGTGCTGAGGGAAGATAAAACTCCAGAACTCCTTCTGCACACGCCCCTCACACTTGCGAAGAGCAGCCTTCGATTTAGAGGTTCATCAAGTTACAAGTTGTACACATGTAGACAGTGACTTTCTCTACATTTACCCAATAAATTTAGAAGAAACTTTTAGAACCATTAGAACAAAAAGATTGAATCTTCTTCTTTGTCTGTCTTTCTTGATAAGGGTGGGAAGGAATGGTGAACTGGAAAATTCATCAAACAGATAAAAACAAGAACATTAACAATAAAAGTAAAAATTTAAAAATAGAGACAGAAGACAGTGCCAAATTTGACCACTGTTCATTATTTTGGTCGAGAATATAATGCAATAATGAGCTTCCTAGCAGCCAGAACTAAAACAACAGCTGATGTAGTCTGCTTTTTTTGAAAAATGACTACAGCATTAGGAAGTCTTTGGGGAACATGAAGTGGGCTAGAGTCTTACAGACAGGTTCTTGAGAACATCATGGAAAGCCTCAGGAACAGACTCACAGCACATGCAGAGCACTTTCCATCTATGTCTAGAAACTGAGAAGGGCTGGCTTTGAAGCCGCTTGGGGGCACACCGTGAAGATGTGCACATATTGTAAGTGTGTGGGCAACGTGTGATTTTAAAAGGGGTCATCCTAGGATTCTCCACATTTTACGAAGAGTTGGGTTAAAATCTACGCCATGAAAACAAATCAGTGAGGCTTGGACTAAGGATAGTTAAGGGACTTAGAACATAAAAGGACACCGAAGGAACAAGATCTACAGACTCCATG